GAAATTATCACCATTGTCAAGTGGAAGTGAATGTGTGTTATTATACTAGTGTGTGTGTGTGTGTGTGCACGTGTGTGTGTGTGTGTGTGTGTGTGTGTGTGTGTGTGTGTGTGTGTGTGTGTGTGTGTGTGTGTTTGTGTGTGTGTGTATGTGCATGTGTATCTGTGTTGATCTGTGATTATGTGTGTGCGTTTTGTATGTGTGTACGTGTGAGTATGTGTATGTAAATATTTGTGCGTGTATGTGTGTGTGCGTGTGTGTGTGTGTGTGTGTGTGTGTGTGTGTGTGTGTGTGTGTGTGTCTGTGTGTTTTGTATATGTATATGTGCGTAAATGTACTATTGTTAGGCGAAATGGGCCCTCAATACTGAATGTCTTCTCCCTCCTCATTTCTCTCGCTTCCTCTCTCTTTCTCTCTTTCTAATTGTTTAAATTTCTTCCTTCTTCTCTCTCTCTCTCTCTCTGCTCTCTGTTCTCTCTTTCTCTCTCGTCTCCTTTCTCTCACAGTCTCTCTCTCTCTCTCTCTCTCTCTCTCTCTCTCTCTCTCTCTCTCTCTCTCTTTGTACATAATGTAAATAATATATGTTTATATATAATATAATTCATAAAGAATCTAACAAGGTGATCCTTATAGGGTACTGTCATTCCATAGAATTCATTAATTAATAATTAACAATAAATCATAACACGGAACATTAAAATTTGAAATACACTGTTGTCGCGAACAATCATGATTCTTTCGATTCCCCTTCAGGTCAAGTTCATTGGGCTTACACAACTGTTCAAGCTGGTTTGACATTGTTGTTTTAAATGTTTACACCCTCATCGTGACAATCTAATTTTTGTGGAGGTTGTCTGCTTCGGTCCTATCTGTCAAGGTCAATCCGGGCTAAGAGGAATACCCCCCATACGGGAACGCCTAACCGTTACACCCCAAAATCTGACAACGCTTGTTTTACAAGAACGAACTCTTTGATGGACACATACTTCCGTTTTTCCTTCCTCTGGCATCCTTAGGATGTCGAGGGGGGGGGGGGGGGGGGTGGACACATACATAATACATCAATTCGAACTCTTGAATCTGAGTTTTGAGTAATGATCACGGGAACTCATTATTGCCTCAATGGGTATCATCCTGGACTACGGAGCGGGAGGTTGGGGTGGGGGGTGGGGGGGGGGGGGTGGAGGGGGGCTTTCTGGCTTGAATTGAATCCCCAACCGGACGATCTGACCTTTTTTATGTCGGTGCTTATAAAGCCCCCATCGATACAATTTAGGTCAGTTAGAAGGTGGGCTTTCCACCCGGCCTGTTAAGGGATAGAGGAAAACAGCATTCCAGCAGAAAGACCGAGATAACCGATAAAAATGTTCTGTCCACTTGGGAAACAAACTCAGGTCTCCTGCGTGTGATAGTGAATAGTTAACTGTTGCTCCACTGACGCCGGTGAACTTGAATTGTTTAGACTATCTGTTTGGGCTCTGCACTTCTTTGGCTCGACCATATCGAAGATGGTCGTTAAATTTGGAGGTTCTCCGAAATAACTTTACGATGCTAAAAACGGCTTTAAACCTTTACAATGACCAATGAAATTAAAGTTGAAAGGGAAAAAAATCAGAGGTGATGTGTCAAACAAAAACTTAACGAATACGTTCTGGAATCTTAAAAAAATATTCACTACCTTACGATTGGAGGGGTTGCTCCTCCTACTGTGAGGCAATCTATTAATTTGCTACTCTATTCCCCCCCCCCCCACACCCCCCACCCCCCACACACACCCCTCGCCTCTTTTTCCCAATGAACATTAGGGATGGTAGGGGTAGAATGAATTTCGCCAAGACACAACAGTGTTTGAAAGTCATACAGGTATGCAGCGTGTTGGACTCATGTTCACCCCCACGTTTTAGCAGTAAACCTCTCTCACTCTCAGACAGCCACTTGATTAAGTAACATCAATCAACTTCACTTTTCCCTCGTGTCAAGCACACAGACTGCGAATCGACGAAGAACACTGCGCTCAAATAGAATAACAATGTAAACGCGCAAATGAAAACGTTCACCTTATAATTCATAGAAGAAGCTGCTATTCCCAAGTTTACTGATAATAACGATAATACGGTCTGAGCATTTTTTAGATCTCTTTCGTTCCCTGAATTTAGAAAAGCTTGTTTTTATTTTTCCTGATGCCTTTTCTCAAACTTTGAAATGAAATTTTCATTGTTTGCTGTTTAAATATTTGCTGCTTTGTTTTTGTATGTTTGTTTATTTTGGGGATTATATTCTTGGCGGAGGGATTGGAAAAGGGGGGGGGGGGGGGTGGATTGTGATCGGGCGAAAATGGGGGGAAGGGGGGGGGGGCA